GAGAGGAAGTCCTTTGGTTGGACAGAAATGGACCCTTATTGGTTTGAATTTGCTCTTGGTGTTTTTCCTTTCATTACGGTTGAGAGGTAGGGGTGCGCATGTGTGTGTGTCGGGGGCGGGTATAGAACTGTCAAAAGCCCCTGTTTCTCTCCACAACTAGGTACTCACAGTGTTAAAAACAACAACAACAAAAAAAAACAGCTGGGGAGATGGGTCCCCGGCTGGCTGGCAGCTGTCTCTGTATTGTCTAGCTAACCTTCACCAGCCTCCCTTCCACCTCAGTTCTTTCTTTGCGCAACGAGCAGTAATTGACTATGTAAACCAGCTGCGTTCAGTGCCTCTCCGAGGTAAAACCTGTCACTTAGGTGGAATTATCTGGTGTGCCTGGGTGAAAGGCGCTTTCTCTGTGGCGGCAGGCTGAGCCCCAGTATGCTGATTTCAATTGAAAAGCCTTCCCCATGGCAACCGCACACGCCTGCAGGCTCTGAGAGCAGCTGCCACGTGATCTTCTGGACTCCCTTCTGGGATTTCTCACCAAAGCTAGTACCTGTGCTGCCTCTGCGTCTGCAGCGAGGAGGAGGAGACTCTGGGTCAAAACATTGGAAACCTGACACAGTAGTTCCTTCACTTACGCATTTCTTCCTTCTCTCTGCCCCCTCTTCTGAAGTCAGGGATGCCTTCAACAAGTGCGCTCAGAACCAACATAGCATCTCACTGCTGACAGGCACGAGGCTGCTTTCTGGGCTGATGGAAATGTTCTACAATTAGAGTCTGGCGATGATGGCATGCCTGTAAATACACTACAAAATCCTTTGACGTGCATATTTAAGTGGGTGAATTTTGATGTGGTCCATAAATTATATTTCAATAAAGCTGTTCGTATATGAGCAAATACACGTAGGGGTTAAATTCCTGTGTGACCAATATAATAGACCAGATGAAAATCTGTTTTAGTAAACTGTAGCTTCTGCTCTCAAACATGTTTGCAAATCACACAGACAAGTGGACCAAGACTGATACCATTTGGGGTTTCTTCCCCAAAAGTTGCATCGTTCAGAGGAGTAAGTTCAGTAGTGGTGTACATGAATTTTACAGAGAAGCAATGAAATCTCTCTGACTTTTTTCCCTGATATTCGTTCTAAAGTCCCAAGCCGTCCAGCTAGTCAGTTGACTAGTAAGTTAACATTGTCATCACTGCGATTGCATTAGCAGACAAGGGCAGAGTAAGGAGCCCTGGGTGGTGTGTGTTCAGTCTGTGCTTGGAACTCAGCAGCCGTTCCTCGGGAGAGAGACGGGGCCTTCTGCTTCCTTGAAGATTACAGCCTCGGAAACCCTCTGGGCTGGTTCTACTCTGTCTTATCAGGTCATTATGATTCATAACTGACTCAACAGCAATGAATTTAAGTGCAAAATACTTGGGGGGCATTCATTCCCTACCCCAAAAACCAAGTTCCCATTATTCTATCTTCAAATGTAATACAGCATTTCTCCTGTAAATCTAATCATGTTTCTATTCAGGGGGGTGGAGGGGCACAAAGTGACTGCAGAGTAAGACATGGACGTTATCACACTAGTAATACAGCTCTGTAAAGCTGCCTTCTCTGTTTTATCAATTCCACATTTTCCACGAATCCTCAGCCACATAAATGATTTCTCTAAAATGCAAAGCATTTGTAAAGATTTGGAGATACAATTTAGCACCCCATTCTTCCAAACAAGGGTTCAAAAAACTGTACTCAACATTTCCTATTTTTCTAAAAATTCGAGAATACTAACTTATTCAGCAACCGATACCACTAATGTTGCATAAACCAGTATTTTCCATTAAAACCATCCTGTCAGTTGGCTGTGCGACCAACCCAGTATTCTGACTGCCTAAAGAAAATTACAGGTGATACCAAAAGCAAGTAACTATCCCCTCACCTGTGTCAGTTTACCAAAGTGGAGACCTCACCCCAGTAGCTCTGCTATCTTACACATTCATTTATATAACTTCTGGTGTGGGGGGAGGTCAGATGCACAGGCATTCCCTCCCCTGAGGGTGATCAGTTGCCAGACTGCACTGGGCCTGCTCCCTGCTGCTGGGGACAATGGACCGGCTCCTGTGGGCGGAGTTCGCATCCTGCTGATAATGCTCTCTATCAGCTGAGCCAGGAACAGGCCAAACTGCCTCATAGACATCCCGAATCTGGGATCCGCCCATCTTGTCACGTGTATACCCCACTCCCTCCTCTTCCTATTGCGTGTATGTCCCTAGACCACCCCTTCTCATTGCTGTGTAACCT